CATGGAGGGGATTGTAACCATGGCAATGAGATGATATACAATAGAATGAATGTAAAACTGATGTTCTCCCATGTAGACTATCACATAATTCACAATAAAACATTTAAGAAAAAAAAAAAAAGATGTAGTGAGGTTACACTTCAATAGGAGAAAAGTCTAATCTTGTGAGTAAAACCCATTAAGATGTGAACTAGTCACACAAGTATTTATACACCATGGTGATAAGGGCCATAAACGAGAAACATAGCGCTCTGAAGTATGCCCAGAGAACATAGCATAAGGGAGTCATCATTTGGGAGAGCAAAAAAGGTTACTCTGAAGATGTGACTTTTCAACTCAGCTCTCACAGAAAGTTTAGAAGTGTCAGGTGAAAAGAAGAAGGGAACAAAAGTCTTCCATGCAGAGTTAACAGCACATGCAAAGGTCCTGAGGCAGCTGCACAGAGAATAAGGAAAACAGGGATGCAAGGAAGAAAGGTGTGCAATCCAGATACTGTCCGGCAGTAGTGATGAGCGGATCCAGAATCGTGCATAGTTTCTCACCTGGTCCTGCTTCATGGCCAGTGCCATCTGTCATCAAGATGGCCAACCAGAGTGGCCATGGCATTCAAAAAACCCTTATCAGACTATGGAAAGTCTGAAACCATGGTTTTGGCTTTGTTAGCCCTATGATCAACTCAACCAAAGAAAAGAACTATCTTCAATTTCGCTTCTATTTTAGTTGGCATCCAATCTTGTGGATAAACAGCACATCTGGAGGCCCAGGACATGGTTAATCATTTGATGCACCATCTAGGACCTTTCTCTTTGTCCATTTTTTCAGTGGTGTGGATCATGACAAGTTATGGATCACACTGAGAAGAACAGGTATTCCAGACACTTAATCATGCTCATGAGGAAACTTTGCGCAGTTGTACGAACAGACCAAGGGGATACTGAATGGTTTAAAATCAGGAATAGTGTTTGCCAGGCTTGTATTCTTTCACCATACTTACTCAATCTGTATGTTAAGTACATAATCCGAGAAACTGGATTATCTGAAGAAGAACGTGACATCAGGATTGGAGGAAGACTCATTGCCAACCTGCGACATGCTTGCTGAAGGTGAAGAGGACTTAAACTACTGACTGATGAAGACCCAAGACCATAGCCTTCAGGATGGGTTGCACCTCAACATAAAGAAAACAAATGTCCTCACAACTGGACCAGTAAATAACATCAAGATAAATGGGGAAAAGACTGAAGTTGTCCAAGACTTCATTTTGCTTGGATCCACTGTCAACACTCACAGAAGCAGTACTCAAGAGATCAAATGACATATTGCACAGGATCACTTTAAAGTTTTGAAGAGCAAAGATGTCAGTTTGAGGACTAAGGTTCATCTGACCCCAGTCATTGTATTTTCAATAGCCTCATACACATGTGAAAGTAGTGCAATGAATAAGGAAGACCATACAAGAATTGATGCAGTTGATTTATGATGTTGGAGAAGAATAGTGAAATTACCATCGGTTCCAGAAGAACAAACAAGTCTACCTTGGAAGATGGACAGCCACAATGGTCTTTAGAAGCCAGGATGGTGAGACTTTGTCTCTTATATTTCAGACAAGTAAGTTATCAGGAGGGACCAGTCCCTGGAGAAGGACATCATACTTGGTCAAGTTGAGGATCATTGAAAAAGAGGAAGACCTCCTAGGAGATGGACTGACACAGTGGCAGCAGTAATGGCCCCTAGCTCAGCAGCAGGTGTTAGGATGGCACAGGACCGGGCCCGTTGTACAGAGGGTTGCTGTGAATTGGGACCAACTGGATGGTACCTTAAAGCAACTTGTCTTTTTTAACTATCTCTAAGGAGCTCTGGTAGCGTAGTGGTTACGAATCGGGCTGCGAGCCTTAAGGTCAGCGGTTCGAAACTACCAGCCGCTCCGCGGGAGAAAGATGAGGCTTTCTACTCCCGTAAAGATTTACACCCTCGGAAACCCTGTACAGGGTCGCTATGAGTCGGACCCGACTCGATGGCACTTAACAACAACAACACACCAGGGTGCAAAAGAGAGAAGAAAAGCCAATCTAATGATCCAATAACTTCATAGCAGGTGGTCTGATAGAGAAAAAGATTTAGATCATCAAAATCTGTACAAAAGCTTAACAAAACAAAACAAAACCACCCCAAACCAAGAACACATCTTGACTGTTGTTGTTGTTATGTGTCATGGAGTAAGTTCCGACTCATAGCGACCCTGTACAGGGTTTCCGAGGCTGTAAATATTTACAGGAGCAGAAAGCCTCATCTTTCTCCCCGAGAACAGCTGGTAGTTTCGAACTGCTGACCCTGTGGTTCTCAGCCCGATTCGTAACCACTACACTACCAGAGCTCCTTGACTAGGGCACCCAATCTCCAGGTCAAGTGAGTAGAAAAATGTTGAAGCAGGCATAAGCAACAAACCATGGTCCTTCATATATAAGCAATCCATCTGAGATTGATGATGTTTTCACTCAGACAGGCTCTCCCTCTCCTCTCTGTCCCTCCTTCTGTATTTTTCCCTTCAGGTATAAACTTTGCGACAAGCACAAGCTCTCACCCCACAGCAACACTAAAGGAGGTTATCCCTTTTCTATTAGTCGGTACTACTTTTATTCGATAATGTTGTTGTTGTTGTTATTAAGTGCCATAGAGTTGGTTCCAACTCATAGTGACCCCTATATAAGGTCTCTGAGGAGTGGCTGGTGTGTTTGAACCACCGACCCTGCAGTTCAAACCAACCTTTCGGTCCAGTGCTTATCCTACAGAGCCATACGAGAGATCCATGTATTTGCAATAGATGTTTTTTGTAAGTAAAGAGGATTAGCCAAGATGGTCAGACACCTGTTTAAACTCCATAAGGAGCCCTGGTAGTGAAGTGGTTAAAGCCCTTGATTGATAACCAAGAGGTCAGCGGTTTGAACCCACCAGCTGCTCCTCAGAAGAAAGATGTGGCAGTCTGCTTTCATAAAGATGAACAGCTTAGGAAACCGTATGGGGCAGTTCTACTCTCTCGGATGGCGCTGAGGGTTAATGCACTGGACTGCAAGGTCAGTTTGAACTGCAAGGTCAGCAGTTCAAGCTCATCAGCTGCTCCTTGGAAACCCTATTCAGGGTTGCTATGAGTTGCAACTGACTGGATAGTACTTAACAATGACAGTATAGAATCACTATGACTCTGAATTGACTTGATGGCAATGAATTTGTAAACTATACATGGGAACACACACACACACACACATATACATACATATATATATTTTTTACTTAACAACCAAATTTTATTTTCACCTCAATAGGAAACAACCATGTTTTCAAAGATGGCAGTTAACCAACCACACCACTTGGTATTGTAGTGACTGCTGTCCAGTTAGTCCTGTAGTTTCGGAGGCTATAATCCTCAACAGCCTCATGTTGTTGTTGTTGTTAGGTGCCATCGAGTCAGTACTGACTCATAGTGATCTTAAGCACAACAGAATGAAACACTGTCTGATCCTGGGCCAACCTCACAATTGTTGCCATGCTTCAGCACATTGAAGTTACCACTTTGCCAATTCATCTTTCTGGCAGTCTTTCTCTTTTTCTCTGACCCTCCATCTTACCAAACATGATATCCTTCTCCAGCGACTGATCCTTCCTGACAATATGTCTGAAGTATGAGAGATGAACTTTGGCCATCCTGGCCTCCAAGGAGCACTCTGGCTGCACTTCTTCTGACACAACTCTGTTTGTCTTTTGACAGCCCATGGCTCTTTTAACATTCTCCTCCAACACTATAACTCAAAAGCATCAATTCTTCTGCGGTCTTCCTTATTCACTGTCCAGCTTTCACATGCATATGAGGTTATTGAAAATACCATGGCTTGGGTCACACACACCTTAGTCTTCAAGCTGACATCTTTGCTCTTCCACACTTTAAAAAGGTCTTGTACAGCAGATTTGCCTAATGCAATATATTGTTTGATTTCTTGGTTGCTGCTTCCATGAGTGTGGATGATTGATCAAGAAAAATGAAATCTTTGTCAACTTCAATGTTTTCTCCGTTGTTTATTGGTTCAGTGGCAAAGATTTTTGTTTTCTTTACATTGAGATTCAATCCATACTGAAGGCTATGGTCTTTGATCTTCATCAGTCCTCTTCACTTTCAGCAAACAAGGTTATATCGTCTGTATATCACAGGTTGTTAATGAGTCTCCCTCCAATCCTGATGCCACGTTTTTCAACATATAATCTAGTTTCTAGGATTATTTGTTCAGCATACAGGTTGAACAAGTGTGGTGAAAGAATATAACCCTGTTGTGCACCTTTCTTCATTTTAAACCATTCAGCGTTCCCATGTTCTGTTTGAACAACCGCCTCTTGGTCTAAGTACATGAGCACAGTTAAGTGTTCTGTGAAGTATGTAATACTCATACTTCACAATGTTGTCCATAGTTGATCATGATCCACACAATCGAAAGCCTTTTCAAAGTCAATAAAGCACAGGTAAACATCTTTCTGGTATTCTCTGCTTTCAGCCAAGATCCATCTGACGTCAGCAATGATATACCTTGTTCCACATCCTCTTCTGAAACTGGCTTGAACCTCTGGAAGTTCTTTGTCAATGTATGGTTGCAGCAGTTTCTGTATTACCTTTAGTAAAACTTTACTCACATGGGATGTCACTGATATTGTCTGATGATTTCTGCATTCCATTGGATCACCAATACGGATCTCTTCTAATCAGCTGGCCAGATAGTTGTCTCTCAAATTTCTTGACATAGATGAGCGAGTGCCTCCTTTGCCGCCTCACTTTGTTTGAAAGATTTTAATTTGTAATCTATCAATTCCCGGTGCCTTGTTCTTTGCCAATTTCTTCAGTGCACCTTGGACTTCTTTCTTCAGTAGCATTGGCTGTTGATCATATGCTACCTCTTAAAATGGTTGAACGTCCTTCAATAACGAAAACCAAGCCTTGAATTTTTTCTTTAGTTCCCCAAGCTTGAGAAATGCTGAGTGTGTTCTTCCTTTTTGGTTTTCTGACTCCAGATCTTTGCACGTTTTGTTGTACTATTTGACTTTGTCTTCTCGAGATGACCTTTGAAATTTTCTGTTCAGCTCTTGTACCTCCTCATTTCTTCCATTTGTTTAGAATCTCTACGCTGGAGAGGAAGTTTCAGAGTCTCTTCTGACATCCATTTTGATCTTTTCCTTCTTAATGACTTTTTGTTTTCTTCCTGTATGATGTTCTTGATGTCATCCCACAACTCTTCTGGTCTTTGGACAATGAATACGGAAGAACGTAGAATTGTTACATTTGAGCTACGATGTTGGGGAATATTAAAAGTAGGGTACACATTTTATAAGGAGCTTAGAACAGTGAAGGTATACTTGGGAATATACCAACAATAGAGTTAAATACCAATAAACCTAACCCACAAACATTTTTAGTAAAGCTTATTCTCCATGCAATGGTCTCTTGTTCTTTCCTGCCTCAGGACCTTTGCATGTGCTGTTAGCTCTGCATGGAAGGTCTTTCTTCCCTTCTTCTTTTCTCCTGACATTTCTAAACGTTCGGTCAGAGCTGTGTTGAAAAGTCACACCTTCAGACTAGTCTTCTTTGTTCTCCCAAATGATAACTCCTTTGTGCTGTTCTCCTTCAGCACACTTCAGAGTGCCATGTTTCTCGTTCATGCCCTTATCACAATGGTGAATAAATACTTGTGTGACGTTGTAAACTATAATTTATCTTTATTTTTATCCAACTCTATAGCTTAATTCAGACAATATTCCGCTGCTATTTATAAGGTTTTCAGTTACTAACCACTCAGAAGTGATCTACCGCTCCTATTTTTCCATCATGCTTGGAAAAGTGAAGGGTCCTTGGAAAAGAGTAAGGACCACCCACCCCCCGCATTGAGATGGACTGACACAGTGGTTACAGCAGTGGCCTCAAAACATAAAAATAATCATTAGGATGGTGTAGGGCCGGTGTAATGTCCTGTTCTATTGTGTATAGGGTCTCTGTGAGTCGGAACTGATTTAATGGCACCTGGTAATAGCCCTGGAGGATAAGCATTGGACCACAAGGTCACTTTGAATCACAAGCTCGGTGGTTCAAACTCACCAGTCGCTCCTTGGAAACACTATACAGGGTCACTATGACTTGGAACCAATTGATGACACTTAACAACCACCACCACCAACCTAACTATTTCTAAGAGCGATAAAGCACCCTGGTACTCTAATATCCCCGTGGCTCCAGGACTAAATGTTTCTATGATTTCGAGTCAGCAGGGCCCCTCCCTCTGACAGAACATCACGCGGGGACAGCACCCACCTCAATTGCACTGGTGTACTGCTCCAGTCGGCTGTCAATCTTGGAGACCACTGCTGCTTGATGTGTTGACTTGATGCCGCTGCTAAACACATAGGTGAGAAGATGAGACACATGCTATCCATACCAAGATTATCTGATGATTCTCAACCGAGCAATCAAATATACTTACCTTTTCTGCACAGACTTATTCAAAAATTCTGCTCGCTCTTCTATCTAGGAATGGAAAAAGAAAAACCCATCTGGTTAATATTTTCTGTTTATAAACAGTGTTTCTCAGCGGAAGTCATGATCTTCCCTAAGCTTGGTGAATCAAAATGCTATAGAGTATCAACCAGTGGATAGACAAACATGCTGAACAGAGCTGGGGAGGAAGTGGGGACCATGCCCATGAAGAGGCATGAAGAGGTACAGGTTTGACAGATAATATATTTCTACATATGCTGCTACCTAGGCTGCTCATATATCCACGAGTATTGTAGAGTATTGTTGTTATTGTTGGTAAGTGCCTTCGTGTCAGTTCTGACACATAGCAACCCTGCATAGGATTTTTGAGGATCAGCTGGTGAGTCTGAATCGCAGACCTTGCAGTTCAAACTGCCCTTGTGGTTCGCTGCATTTTCCCACCATGCCACACCAGGACTCCATAGAGTACCCAGGAGACTAAGTTATGAAAACATAAAGCCATAACTCAACACCTTGAGTGAATGAGTCACTGGGTCTGGGTCTGGGGCTCAGGGCCATATCCTTGAGGATACCAAGGTCATTTCGTTTAACTTTGTCCACAAAGACAATGTTCTACATTCTACTTTGGTGAGTAATAACTGGGACTTAAAAGCTTGTGTGAGTGATGAAAGTGGAAATGATTAGTCCAGTAGACTAACGGATCACATGACTCTGAGCCCAGAAGTAGGTGGTGCCCAGTTACCACTACCAACTGCTCTGAAAGGGATCACATTAGGAGGTTCTGGATACATTAGGAAGGAACATAGCTCAAAATCAGACAAAAATACCACGTTTACTGGTTGACTGAGACTTGAGGAGCCCTTGAGATGATGGTCCTTTGTCACTTTCAGGATTGGAAGTGAACTCACCCTTGAGGCTCAATTGTCAGCCTCTGTGTGTAAGGTGAACAATACTAGCAAGGCAGGTACTCCTTGGACTACACCACCATTTGAGATCTAACTGGAAGCAGCATTTGGTCGAGGACCAGGTTCAGAAGACAGAAAGGTTTAGGACTGAAGGAGGAATGGAAATGGAAGACCTAGAGAGGAAGTGACGCAATGTTGCAGGGATTGTGATTAATGATATGAAACAAAATGTTAGGAATTGTTGAATGGAACATTGATTTGCTCTTTAAACCTTTGCCTACAAGGAGCTCTGGTAGC